TGTCATTTAAAGTTAATCTGACATGTATTTAACTTGTAGTGTCCACGCCAACAGGGAAGCCATGAGTGCGGGTATTATGTGATGAAACACATGCACACCATCGTAGCCAAAAATATTATTGGCTCATGGAGGAAGGTAAATATACTATAATTAAGTCAAATATGCCAATTATGTAAATGGTTTCTAAATCTGAAATGTTTCAATATGTAGGAATTTACAGACTCATCTCCAATGAAGATTGAAGTGTTAGACGATATTAGAGAGCAGTGAGTTTCTTTCCTTTTAAGTATTCAATCTTCATAGCAAATTTGACTTGTAACAATTTTGATTGAATTGATTTAAGTTAGCAAATTTACATTCGTTTAAGTAAATAAACTGTCTGGAACTGAGGTACATATATTGATTTCAATATGTTTCATATGTACATATCTGTCTGGAACAATATATGAACTGTGCATATCTGTCTGTATAAGTGTTTGGATCTATGAATATTTGTCTGGAACTGTGATGAATAAGCAGGTCTACTCGAAGAAAGGTAGCATCTGTGAAGAAAATGCAGATACTGTAAAAAAAAATAACACTTTCTACGTCGGTTATGTCATTACCCGACGTAGAAAGTACTTTCTACGTCGGTTAATGACATAACCGACGTAGAAAGTTTAACATTTTATGTCGGTTATAGGCATAACCGACATTGATCACACATACAATCACGGTTACTGTTAACCGATATAGATACTGGGGTTATAGAAAGTAAGACTTTCTATGTCGGTTATCAGTGTTAACCGACATAAAAAGTGGTATGACAGGTCAGAATCAGTTATGATCGATCAGAATAGCTCTATGACCGATCAGAACCAGTTATGACCGATCAGAATAGTTCATAGAAAGTAAGTCTTTCTACGTCGGTTCCCTGACTAACCGATGTAGAAAGACTTACTTTCTATGACCCCCATATCTATGTCGTCGCTTTAACCGACGTAGAAAGCTCATTTTAACTTACGTAAAAAGTCTTTTCTGCAGTAGTGTTACACATGAGAAAGTATTCAATAAATAATTAGATAGGAAACTATGGATGGACCCATGATTACTTTAAAAGCAACCAAACCAAACACACTGATTGAAACTACGAAGGTTAAAGATAATCATGAAAAAGGCTTGTTTGCTGTCGTTCTCACCAAACAAACAGTCCTTAGATTACTACGTTGGTATGTTTAAGTCTTTAACTATTTCAATACACGTAATACACAAGTACTACTCTATATTTTGAATTTAAATATACTTATCTTTGAATATTTAACTCTTATTTTTTATATTATTTCATTATATAATATTTATTACATTGATTTATAAGACTGGTTTTTCCTTTGAATTTACCAGTTTTTTTTTCAAATATAAATTTTTGTTCTGACTATATTATTTTTCAATTCAAATTTAAATTAAATAATATCTTGTTTTAAAGTTATTCAATCATAATTATTTTAAATATAATTTACATTGTTATGAATATAGTATTCTTTTTTTTTCAATTTGAATTAAATTGGTTTTACTTTAAGCTCTGACAAATTCTACTATCCAAGTTAAAAATAAGGTTACTATATTTTTTTAACATTCTAAATTAGTTCTATGAGCAAATGTAGAATTAACTGTAGGAAGTAATTTTTATATCTCGGTTGTAGTATAAAGAAGTCAATATTTTTTTTAGATCAATTGTAATTTTGATTTTTCTATAATTATTATGTATGGTTTTGGTCTTTTTTCTTTTCTTTTTTTAGTTACTAAATTTTAAAAAATTATATTTGGTTAAATTTTCAAAATAATATAACTAAAATTGTGGAATAAAAAATGAATGAAAATTACAATTTAGCATTTATTTTATAAAAGCATCATAACTACATTGGATTATTTTTATGATTATGCTATTAATACCAAATAACCATTATCTTAATTATGCATTATTTTTTATTGGAAAATCTAATGTCCCTTCGTATCCCAATTACGTTTTACACATCTAAGACATATATATTGTGAGAGAGATATGTATATTAAAATGTAATTGCAATTTGTTTTTACTATGATAATAACTAAAATTAAAACTTTTATAAAAAAAATTAGATTACAAAGCGATCAAAGAAACTTTTGTTTTTCTATTACGCGAAAAAAAACGTAAATATATGATTTTTTTTTTATATACGAAACAATAACTTTTCTCTTTTCATCTCTTGTTACATATTTTTGTTATTGTAAATCTGTCTCTTAGGAAGTATTAATTCGAATTGCTAAAGTTTTCATTATTGGTCTGTAAAAAAGATTAACAAGATGAATAAATATACTTTAAAAAATAATTATAACATATTAATTGTGAATTTCGGTCTATTCAACAAGAGAGTGGATTAATAAATTAGAGATTGGACTGTTTGACTCAGTTTAGCATGGTTTATATTAAAAAAGTTAAAAGAAATTAATCTAACATAACTGGATTAATTCACTCCATATTTAAAATAAAAAAATATACATAATATAATTTTATAATCAAAATAAAAAATGTAATTCATTATTAAATTACACAAGTCCACAAATAACTAATATTAAGTTAATAATGATTAATAATATTTCCAAATCTATCTATATAATAAAATGAAAATATAATACGTTTATAATTTTGTTTAACTTATTTCAATATTTTTTTTATAAGATCTATCTATACGCAACACAATACAATATTAGGAGTTTTTTTAAAAGTGGTAATATCTAATGTATTAGATCTCTGGTTCTCTCATGTTTTTTACACATTTATATATGGAATAATAAATTGTTTTTAATATAAAAAAAAATTATATATTATATATTAATTATTTAATTAAATATTAAGTACAATATTTAAATCAAATAGAATCATCATGAACAATATAGTTTTTTTATCCTTAAATATTTAATAAAATCTCATCACCTAAACTAAAACTTGAAAAATCTTTATTAGGCTGATTTATGCAATCATTGGTAATAAAGACTTGTTTTAAAAACTACAATTAAATTTTGATATTTATTTTGTGTTAATTTTTAAATTTATTTATTGTAGAATCAGTGTATATTGTTCCCTATGAATATTGTAACAACACCTCGTCCATTTGTCCTATGTGGTTATTATCACTTACATATATAACGCCTGTATATTTTTCTTTAGAAAAATAGTTAAATAAAAGTATTAGAGATACAATAAACTATATAATATAACATCATATAAACTTATCAAAATAAACATTAATCCACTGTCTAGAATTAATATAATACTGCAAAATTATATATCTCCTTAATTTTAAAATTAATTACCAATACCATGATATGACCATGGATAAGATTCATGATCTTTTCACCTAAATCCACGTACTTTCCAAGGTATCTCATTTCTATATTATTTTAAACGAACCAAATTCACCATCTAAATAAAAATCTCCAAGGATGATACTTGCATTTAACTATTTTTTTTAAATTAAACTTTGTAATTTCTTTATGCAATATATAAATATATATATATATATATATATATATATATATATATATATATATATATATATCCCATTATCTTAAATTTCTCAATGATAAACATAGGAAGTGAGAACATGCCAAAAATACTTCTTGTACAAGGGAAAGAAGGAAAGAATAAGAGAAGTGTTATGTGATGAAGGTGGAAGTGGTACTTTAGGTTAAAATGAAGGAACAAATGGAACCGTTTAGAGTGGGAGAAGAAACATGCCAAAAAAACTCCAACTCTCCATTGGAAGAATTGGACCACCCTATCATCTGTACACTTACTTCACTATTATGTCTTTGTGTTTGTTATTCAATGTTTGGCCACTTCACTGGCCATTTCAATTCCACTTTCACTGGAAAAGGACGAGCCCATCTATATCCTGTTTTCATGATATATTTTGTCTATTTTTTAATATTTATTTTGAATAAGAAGATATTATCATATTTTGATTTCAAATAGAGTGAAGAGAATTGAAGTTAAATAACTTCATTTCTTATTAATTGGATATAAGTTGAAATGATATTTTTTGTGTGCATTATAATAAGAAAATCTCACATCGTTATATGATTAATATATATATATATATATATATATATATATATATATATATATATATATCCTTCACTTATTACTAATTAATTATAAATTCTAATAACATTTTGTAGTCTTGATTACTATATATGTTTCCTATTTTAAGCATTAGTGTCACTCACCCTTCCTACCCATTTTTCTCTTTTAAAAATAAAAAGTAAGAGACGTTGACGGTTTCACAATTGATATTGAACTTGATTTTGTTTTATTTTTTAGGACAAGTTAAAATGGGTATCATATACAAGGAAAATTTTAATTCAATGTCAGATTTTTATTTTTATTTTGCTTAAATAATGCCTTTGAAATAAAATTTAATATTTAAATTAGAAATGTAATTATTTTTATATTACTGTTTTAAAAAATTTATATTTAAGTTATACATAATTCAAAATTACATATATTTTACCTATAAATACATGTACCAAAATCCGGTAGCATTTCCCCTCCTCCTCCGTAAATACTCCCTCACTCAACATTTGATGCACCACAACCTGTCACCAGCCTGTAAAGCCTCTCCCAATGCATGCATAACATTTTTCATCTGTAAAATTATTAATAATACATTGTAAATTAGAAAATTATTAATATCGTTTATTATTTTGTTGTTAAATTTAAAATTAGTTGAAACTATGATAAAAGAAGAATGCGCAGGTCAGCATCCTCTTTGGTGTTAATTATGATTTAAAAATGAAAATGAAAAAAAAAAAAAAAAGATCGAGGTGGCAAGGAAGAGAGGCTTGGCTGGCTCTTCCCAAGAGTGGTAGTCCTATATATAGAGAGATACAGCTAAACACCGTGTCTCCAATTAAGAGTTGATAACAAATAGCTACCACAACACGCACAAAATTGACTCACCCACAATCTCTCTCCCTTCTACATGGGAAATTGCGTTTTCAGCTCCTACGAAACCACGCAGGAGGCCACGGCCAAGGTCGTCGTTCACGACGGCAGGATGGAAGAATTCTCATACCCAGTCAAGGTCTCTTATCTCTTGCAACTCTACCCCGCCTGTTTCATATGCGACTCCGACGAGATCACCTTCGACGATGTCGTAACGCCGGTTCACCACGACCACGAGTTGAAGCCCGGCCAGCTCTATTTCGCGCTCCCGCTTAACCACCTCAAGCGTCACCTCCTGCCTCACGAGATGGCCGCTCTAGCCGTCACCGCCACCTCGGCGCTCGCCAGGCGCCGCGGCCACAAATGTGGCTCTCGTCGGCAACAGATTTTGATTTTCCCTGGCGAGGGGAATGCCAAGCCTCGCCGGAGAGTGGCGCCGGACGGTGGTGGTGTGAGGGGTACGGTTGATAGCCGTGGTGTCGCGAGGAAACAAATGAATGGACATGGCGGTGTCAAGGGGAGGGGGAAGTTCACGGCGACCTTGAGTTCCATACCGGAGCAGGGGTAGTTTCGGATGGAAAAAAAATTTGTGGTTGCTGAGATTTTGTATCGTTGTGTATATATTAAAAAAAATAATACAAAAGTTATTAATTTTTGAACGATGTAAAAGTATATCAGGAAAATCAACCATGGGATTATTCGTTTTGAATTAATTAATTAAGACCAGTGTTATTGAATAACTTATTTATGATAAAAACAAATGTAATTCACTTATTATACTAAGTTTATTAGGAGGAAAATACTCGTGTTAATTTTTCAGTATCTCTTTATCGTTCATCTGTGTTCATTTCCTTTATTATACCTTCACATTTGAGATTTCAGTGCAAATTTATGGCAACTTACTCTTTCACCCCTTTAGTTTTAAAGTATACTTTTTAACATATTTTTTGTTAGTCATTAAAATTATATAGAATAGTATGAGTTGGTTTACTAATCTTGTTAATCATTATATTTAAAACACTTATTAAGAAATTAAAACTATTTTTTATTAAAAAATATATATAAAAACAACTTGAATAGGACATTTGTCTTTGTTAAAATGAGAGGAGATGATAAAATTGCTGTTTTTTAATATTTATTCTCTTAGTAAAATGTCAATAATGTAATATTAATAATAAGATTAGGTCCTTAAAATGATAATCACTTACACTTTTCAATAGCGAAAAAGTTTATGATAAAAAAGTAGTATCCTGTAACATTTTTTTTTAAATTTTATTTTGATATAAAACATATTAATTTCTGATTAATAGGCTAATTAATTCGTTTTTCATTTCCAGACTAAGCATCGATTTTCATTTGGCAACAGTAGTTTTTGTTTTTCTTAAGAGGAGTTTCAGAATACGAGGGAACTTAATTACAGCGAACAGAAGGTGTGTTCGAGGAAAGTGCCTTCCATTCCACCCTTGAGAGAGGGTAATTCATTGGAATGTGTTGATATTAAGATATGTCAGATATCGAGACAAATTAAGGTTTTTTTAATATTTAAAATGTAATATTATGTAGATTTTTTTATACTAGAGATACAACCATCCTCAATTATATTTAAAATAGTTTTTCACTTATCAATATGGAACTTTTCCTTGAATATCATACAAGAATAATAGTATTAATATTAATTTGATTTAATATGGTACCATGTGTGTTATCATATGATATAAAAGATAAATCCTAATCTTCATTAAATAAACAAACAAATTATAAACCAGAAAAACAAATCTTACTGAATAATTTAAGACATTTTAAATTATTTTTAGGTTCAATCTAGAGATTATTAAATGAATTTTATGCATGATGAGAATTACATGCATTCAACAAGGTTGACTATCGAACAGTTTCGATGGATTTATACTGGTATAGGCACGATTCGATCCCTCCCAAGCATTTTTACCATTACCAATTCTTTTAAGATCTTAGGCCATGGGTTGGTTTAGTAACTTGTTCATCATTCAAATAGAGGGAACAGTAAAAAGAGTGTATATAGTACTAAACACTGCTAGCTATCATACCAAATAAGCCTCTATCTTTTCTTGTATCCCTTTGTAGTCACGTTACTTGGTACATTTCTTCCTTTTCATCTTATCACTTCACACTTCTTCATTTTTTTTTTCTTTGTGTCTTTCTCTTTTCACTTGAGTGTGCACACATAGGGCATCGACTTATTCAGCAAGAGAAATCTTATTCTAATCATAGCTTTATAACATCTACTTATTACAAGAAAGGATAAATAGAGACGCAAAAGTTATAACAATCAAGAAGCTTTCTATATTAATATTGTGAAGCAGAACTGTAATATTTTTTTTCCTTAATTTAAATATTTTCTTCTTGTTTTAAATGATCAATAATTCATTTTTATGTGACTGCGACATATTGAACATCGTACGGGAGAAATGCTGCTGACCGAAAGCTCTCTCAACCGCACAAGCGTTACTAGTTTTGTCATTTGAACGGATAAAGAATGTTAACACAAAAAACGAAAATAATTCATTGGCGACATAATGAAAAGAACAATTATAATATTTTCTCATTTTCACGTCTATTTTTATTTCCGTCCTTTTTATTCTTCATTCCAATAATCGTTTTCTCTCTATCTTTTTCTTTTTACTTCTCTCTTATCATTCATAATCACCCCATTTTTAGGACATAATATTTTCGAAATTAAAAATGTGTAGAGAGAATCTTCCTTAATCGGTTGTGACCACCTGGTTCAGTACAATGTAAAAATGGATAAACCTCACACGTAAAATGCAGTAAAAAACAACATCAACAACAGAAGCCAAGAATGAGACCAAATTAATATTATTTCAAGAGAACAAAGAGGGAAGGGATTACATTTTGGGTCGGTTACACCTAACAGATAATAACGCAAACAGAAACCTAGGTATACATCATCCACATAGAATAGGTTTGAAGAACAAGAACTTATCCTCGCACACTTGTCAAGGGTACAAATGCCGGTGACAAGGAAATCTGCACAGAAGACGCTCTTTCCTTGTTTTGGACTTTTCTTTCAACATGCATGAGCGAGTTGAGAGACACTAGTGAGTACACTGTATTCCATGGAAAAAAGTATAACAGATCTGCTGCAAGCAATAATCTACTTGTGCCTGTGCATGACATGGACGGGATATACACACCAAAGGTTAAGGATGAATTTAATTGGACAAAGGTTAGGTATATAAATGAATGTGCCAAGTTATCAGATAATCTTTTTTCTTATAGATATTCGATTTTCAGATTTATGCATATGAAAAATATATAACAAAAAAAAAAATCTTTTAAATATTTTAATGGATTAGTTCTTGAATTTAGGGTTTATAAAAATGAATGTAACGTATCAAAGTAAAAGACAAAAAGGAGAGTGTGAAGAGGAGTTAACGCGTGGAATATATTAACTTATTAAGCGCAAAAAAACGAGTGAGAACGCGCAGGGATGTTGTGCAATGTTGCCATTAGAAGGAGTCGCTGTCAGTGATGGAGTTTTTACGAGTACAGCTGTAACAACATAAGTATAATTAATAGTATGAATAAATAATGAATCTGAAGTAATGAATAATAATGTTGCGTTTGAGTATATGGTTACTGAATACCGAACACGGTTGGTGAAGTAATTAGATATATTTAGATGGTGGAATTACAGTAGGTAGCTGCAGGAATTCGATCATTTCAAGCTTGCCATTAGTGACAGGGAATTGCAGAAACCATGGAAGTGATGTCCATGCATGGAGGAGGGTTGGCACACCACGAATTTGTAGGTACTTGTTTTAGCGTGTTGAAGACATGAAAATGACGTATGTGACCACTCACTACGCACTGTACTTTTTTGACCTGATTGGAATGGAAGAAGCTCCTTCTCCCTGCCGTTTCTTTTGCATTCGGCCATTTAGTTTACGACGGATTGCGCATGCTACACTCAAAATCAACAAGGACAAAATTTTGTTTAACTCACAATGCTTTATATAAACCCTTACTTATTGATGGTTAGTTTTAAAGAATGATTTCATGATCGATTCAGAAACCTACTAATATATAAAACATAATTTAAAAATGAAAAATGAATGTTTTTTTTTTAAGAAATTGAGTTGAACAAATCGTTCTATTTAGTATAACGCGTTTGATGCATCATGCATGGGTAATGAACTGGTGCTGATGAGAAATGGCACGGCCATACAAATTTAACAAGTTATTTCAGAGATAATAAATTATAGTTATGCACATTTAATTTTCTTTATTACATTTCGTTCAGACAATACTATAAGCTGATAGAATTTTATAATCAGTTTTGTTTAGATTTTTTTTAGTTTGATGCCGGTAAAACTTATATATTGATTAATATATGATGCGATATCATCAAAGCAAAATAACTAGAACGAACATAATTGGTCAAACTTCCAAATTTGAACGTGTGATCGATGTGCAAGTCCAAATGAAACACGTATTTGATAAAAATAATAAAATTACATGAGCAGAAAAAAAAAAAGATATGATAATTGAAGTTAAGCATCGAAAAGGAATTAATTAAGGAAAGTGAGTATAGAATTTGAATTTATAAGAATAACATTATCTTTATATACATATATAGGCACACATTATGATGTATCATTCTCCCTGTAATTGAACTAATTATTTAAAGTTCAACACGATACACACATAAGATTGGACCTTTCTGCAAAGAAAGGAAACATGATATGATGATATGAATGTATGTGCATAGCCCCTTGTTGGTTTTAATTAACATCCATTATGAAGTAAACCCAGCTGGAGGAATCCGATGCTGATGTCTCATAAAAAGACTTGCATCCATTTAGTGCTCCATGTTATTTTTTTTTTTTTTATCGGCAACAAAGAATAAAATTAATAGAAGTACAAAGGGGTACTTCAACCCAAATACAACTAAAAGAAGCTAGATGAACCAAATAAAAACACACCCTGCTGGGTCACAAGAACGAAAGCTCAAAGATACATGTTTAGTTACCCCAGCGGTGCCTAAAGGAAACTAGCTTCGGGTAAAATGTTGACACTAAGACAGTTTACATCAAGGTTAAGAAAAAAAAGTCTTGTAGCTCTCGGAAACTCCCGCTCACCGTCTTCTTATATGAATCATCATCATTGTGGCATGATTACACACTTTAACTTGAAAAGACATATACCAGCCAGCACAGACAAAAGAGAAGCTAAATGACAATTAGTCTCATACATCTTACCGGTTCATAGAACCAATCGAAACTTGTTAGGCTCGCTCCATCCCAGTTTCTAGCGCACCAAGCAGTGAAACTTGCACTCGCTTTACTAAATCCTACTTCTGCATCAAATTTACCATTTTTAAAAATACAATTATTCCTTTGAGACCATATTTCATATACCACTGCTACCCATAGTCTTTTCCACAACATGTTTCCCTTCGTTCCCAATCCACCTAATGCAAAGCTTTCCAGGCTTGCTTTCGCCTCACAATGGCTAACAAAGCTTATACCCACCCATCTAAAGCACTTTTCCCAGATCTCCCTGGTCATCTTGCACGTAAAAAAGAGATGATTGGATGTTTCGTCCTCACTCCCACACAATGTGCATTTTGGGTTACCTATATCAACCCTTCTCCTAGCTAAATTTACCTTTGTAGGGATCCTATCCTGAAGAATTCCCCACCCTAAAACCATGGCCTTTGGTATCGCTTTAATTTTCCAGTACCATTTAAAAATTGATTCGTTCTCATTGCAAGTTTCTTCGTTTAGAGACTCATATGCTTCTTTTACAATATACCTTTCATTTTTATTCGGTCCCCACAACCACGTATCATCTGTACCCCTATTAAGTGTTATGCCCTAAATCTTACTTAGCATTTCCTCCTCCATTTCCTTCTCTCATTCGAAACGTTGTCTTCTCCAGCTTACTCTCCATTCCCATCTATTTTCCACCCACACACCATGTTCTGATAGCACCTCGTTTTTGTTCAGTCCTATTTGTTTTAACCTTGGATACAAGCGACCTAAACTCTGTTCCCCAATCCACACATCGTCCCAAAACCTGATTTTCTCCCCATTTCCTATTTTCCATGTTACATGTTTATCAAACCAAGCTCTACCAACATTATCTTTACATATTCTTTTTATATCTAGCCACCATTTTGAATCCTTATTAATGTTTTTCGGTTCGTCTAAGGCTCTCCAGGACCCGTATTTGGCTTCTATTACTTCCTTCCATAATCCTTTTGACTCGACACCTAACCTCCATTTCCATTTTGCTAGTAGGGACCTGTTCATCTTCTGAATGTTTTTCACCCCCAACCCACCCTCTTCCTTTCTTCTACACATTTTTTGCCATTTTACCCACGCTATCTTTTTCCCTTCCTTGCCCCAGCCCCACACAAACTCCCTTTGAAGTTTTGTTATCCCTTTTATCACTCTAGCAGGCATTTTGAACACGGACACATAAAACAGTGGTATCGCCGAAAGAACCGATTTCACCAAACATACCCTCCCAGCAAAGGAGAGCATACGCCCTCTCCACCTAGAGAATCTTTTCTTTACTTTACTTATGACATCGTCCCAAAACTCATGCCTTTTGTGGTTCCCTCCAACTTTCAACCCCAGATATCTAAATGGCAATAACATTGTCTTACATCCTAGTTCTCGTGCAAAGCTTTCCAGTAAGACAGGCTCCACCCCTATTCCTCCTAATTTTGTCTTTCTCATATTAACCTTCAATCCCGATGCTAACTGGAAGCATCTCAAAATCGCCTTAATTACCGTGATGTTATTTGGATTTGTATCGCTGAAGAACAGAGTGTCGTCTGCAAATTGTAGAAGACTGACCTGAAGCTCCTTTCCCCCCACCCTGGCTCCTTGTAGCATCCCTTTTGCTACTGCTTGCCTAACCACCCCAGCTAGCCCTTCAACTACCACTAAGAAAAGGAACGGGGCCAAAGGGTCTCCCTGTCTTAATCCTTTTTGGGGGAGAAACTCTTTTGTTGGGCTGCCATTCACCAGAACTGATATGGAGGAAGATTTTAAAAAACCTTTAATCCACCTCACCCATTTCCTGCAGAACCCTAGTTTCTCTAACATATAGAAGAGAAATTCCCAATCGACAGAGTCATAGGCTTTTTCATAGTCTATCTTGAGTACCAAACCTTTTTTCCGTTTGCTCTTATACTCATGAATGACTTCGTTTGCTACCACAACACTATCCAGGAGACCCCTCCCTTCTAGGAAAGCGGACTGAGAGTCACTAATTATCTTATTTAGCACGCCTTTCAGTCGCCCTACTAACACCTTTGCTAGTATCTTATACAGGCTGCCTATCAGAGATATTGGTCTATATTCATCCAAGTCCACCGGGATTTCTACTTTTGGGATTAGTGCAATGAACGAGGCATTACATCCTTTTGGAATATTACCCTCCCTCTGAAATTCTTCAACAACTTTTAATATGTCCGCCTTCAGTGTTGACCAGTTATGTTTTATAAAGCAGAAATTAAAGCCATCAGGTCCAGGGCTTTTACTGCCTTCACAACTCCAAACTGCCTCCCTTATCTCTTCCTCTGATATTTCTCTAACTAGAGCCTCATTTTGTACCTTTGTTATTCCTTCAAACGAGATCCCTTCTAATTTGACTCCCAAACTTGTTTCTCGGTTGAATCTTCTTTTAAAATGTTCCATAACCTCATCTTTTACTCTTACCGGGTCCTCACACCAAACCCCTCTAATCATCATCCCTGGTAGTTCCATCTTGCTTCTTTTCCAACTAATCAAAGAGTGGAAAATTTTTGAGTTTATATCCCCTTCCTTTATCCACTTGTCTCTTATCTTCTGTTTCTCCATAGATGCACTCTTTAACATTATTTTTCTCAATTCTATTTGGTATAACCATCTCTCCTTCTTACCTTCTTCATCCAACTGATCTATTTCATCTTTATGGTTGTTGCTCTCTCCTTCTTCTGCTATTATTTCTTCTTGCAGTCCTCTCAATTTCAGGATCAAACAACAATTCTTCAGCTGGAAACTTTCCTCGCATAAACAAGATTAATCATACACAGATGGATTAGTTCAAGAGACTAAACAATATATTACACATTACAATATATTAATTCACAATTATATTCACAATCCACTAAATCACAATCACTAATTACGCCAAATCCCCGGCAACGGCGCCAGAAACTTGGTGAACTTTTTCTTACTCACAATTTTACTTGGCAGTGTACCAAGTTTCGATGTAGTATTTATAAAGTCGTCCATAGGGATTTGTGAATTAATGATTCTAATTTAAATGAATCTTTATACTTAACCATTTACAGATTTTTAAACCTCTTGTAACCACACATATAAACATAATAGAACAGTGAAAGACATTTAACTATAATGAGTGATTAAATATGATGCATTTTCTATTTTACCCTTTTCTTAATGATCATGATTCTGTTAGTCCAATTTCATTCTCCTTAATTCACTCAGTATGATTCCTCAATACTAAGATCTAAAATGTTGACTTTTCAACATGATTCCTCAATGAATCAAATTCAACACTCAGCATTAAATTTTCACTCTGAAGATCAGGTACAAGTAAGATCAAATCTATTCCTACAATTTGATTTTACTTGGTGTTTGAACAATTCTAGAATTTCAGATTTTCTTCCGAATATCTCAAAAACTTAAATTTTAATCTAGTTAATCAAACCAAATTAAGTAATACGCACAAAATCAAACACAACTGGGTAAACAGAAATTGATTACATTCAGAGAATTGCAAAATAGAATTTACATCATATTCAATCCATAGAATTCAGTTCCTCATAGGAGAAAGTACAGAGAAGGAAGAAAGAAGAAAATTACAGAACATAAGCAACAGTGAAGGTAGATCCTTGTTCCCAAGCTATCCAACCTT